GGCCTCCAATGGATCTTGATGCTACAACACAACCTTTGGCTTTACAATGAACTTCATCTGCATTAGGATTCTGCATAGCTGCTCATGACCTTCTTCTGACATTTTTTCCATGAAAAAGTGGCAAAATGTTCAGTTCATTGACTTCATGAAATCACTATCATTTCTTCCTTTTCAGGTAAAACCTTAGGCTAAAACCAATTTGAGAGAATTCAGGCAAAATGAGGGCTATAAAAATAAATGCTACAAGTATTTTTCTGGAGAAGAAAACATGCTGATGCACAAAACCAGTGATATTTGCATGCCAAAAAGTTTATTTCGCTGTGAGTTATGATTGAATTCAACTTAGAGGTTTACTAGAAACATTTGTGGACTAGGTGAACTACAAAAAGAAAAAAAACACTTTGCCTTTTCAAATCTATACTATGTGAAAGGAACACAAAACAGCAAGCCTGTTCCGTGTATGTCTGAGTTTATACCCATATACAGGTATAACAGGAAACCAGACTTGTAATTTTGAACTGTTATGGATTCACTCAACAAAATGCTAAATAAATTAAAACACAGGCACTGGGACTGTATATGCCAACAATACATTATATTACAGAGGTGATTTACCTTATCTTAAGATTCAAGTTCAGATCTGGAGTTACAGTAATAGAAGAAAACAAAAGTGGATTGAAGGAGCAACGCTCTCAGATCTATGAATAGCATTTTTATTGGGGGAAGAGATCACTTCATGTGTAGGAGAGGAGACTTTTCCTTTTTTGTGTTCAGTTTTCAAGAGATCAAGGAAAAACTGCCAGCAGAAGAGACACTGTGAACCTGTTATTAAATGCTATGAATTACATTACCATCTGTCTTAGGACAGGCAAATACAAAGTCAATCAAGCAGTAGTCCAGAGACGTTGTTTAAGAATGAATCTTACTGTTATTCAGATAATCCGTCAAATCTTGGGAATGAATGTCAAAAGTTACTATTCCCCCCACTCCCAGCCCCCTTGCCAGGAAATAGTGGCCTCTGTAATAAGGCTAGACATAGACATGATAATAGAAGTTAACAAAATTATTAAAAGGGGATTTGAATTATTATTCAAAGAGAATAATATGAGAAACAAAGAAATATCCAAGAAGTATGAAGCATCCAGACACCTTCAAATAGTCATGGAAGAACGGAGGCTTGTTTTCATTCTCTCTAACAGAAAATGCAAATATAAGTATAAAGGCAAGATATACAGTCAAAATTGAACTTCAGCACCAGTTGAAGGAGGTTTTTCAGTACCCCAGATTATGCAATAAATTCACCATTTTTACCCCTCAAAGAAGCCATTAGTACCTGGTGAAAACTCTGGGACACAACCAATTGTGTATAGGGAACAGAGGTCTTGAAGGTGTATGGCAAGAAAATTTAGACAGAAGAGCAGAAATGCTTTAGGGACTCCTTATGAGAGGAAAAGTTTGGAAAAACTTAAGACTGAGTGACTTTTTTTGTGGTTTAAATGCTTTGCACCCAAGACTAGGGTAACAGCTCCAGGAAGTCCTAACAGGATTGACCACTGAATGAGCAGTAACGAATAGTTAAAAAACAAGAGGTAAATGACTGAAATTAAGAATGGCCAAAAAATCACTTTAAGAGATTATTTAAGAGAAAATATATTAATAATCACATATTTCTTAGCTATGTGTAAGCTGTAACATTGATCAGGCTAGACCCATAGTCACCTATCACTGCGATTATCCTACACAAGAATAAAAGGAGTGAAAATTAAATTAGTAAGGTACAGAAGATGAACTATCTATTGACAAGATGGCAATGAAAATTTTCATATCCAAAGAAAGAATCCCAAGGAACCATGGAGAGATTACGTGATGGTGTTTGATCCACACCCACATTTCTGTGGGTGGAAAGCATGGAGGAAAAAAAGCAGAGGGGGAAGGTCTCTGTGGAACCCCTGGGATTTATTGTGGAAAATATCATTATCACTACATAGAGTTTAATCTCAAACTCTATGGCATGCCAGAGAAGATAATCTAGCTGCAACAAAGAACATCAATATCTTTTCAAGTGATGTTCACCTGCAGCTTTGGCTGAAGCATTTCCAGAAACAAAGGTCAAATTGGCAGTGGGGTTGCAAAACAAGTGACAAAGCTATTGACACATTGTGTCCTGAAAAGACCTACATAGCTTGTCACGTAAACTGTCAGCAAAGATGTTGGCATGCAAAACTTAGTAGGTGCCATCAGCTTCAAATACTCCACAGTGACCACTTGTGGTCAGTTAGTACCCATGTCGTTATAGTTGTGTCTTGCCATGTCTTGGCACGTTGGGATGAGATCGGACTCTGGGAGAACAGAGACCTTTAGGCAGGATGATCACCACTGCAGAGCTGAAAATTTAACAGGTAACTGCATGTCTTTAGGTGGAAAGAAAGATGGAGGTTGAATAATAGTGAAGATACTGTGTTTACTGAGTGTGTGTTTATTGTGTATCCCAGCTAAATATTGTTGTTTATAATGACCAGGAAGAAAAGGCTATATAATGAGTAGATGGAAAACTGTGGGAAACTCATTTAAGAATCACAAGGAGTATATTAAGACTGCACTAAGAAGTAGGAGGAAAATATTTTCTTTAAAGAAATGGGTAAAAAATCTCAAAAATTGAAGAAGTGAAGAGAAAGACACTACCACTACACAAGATTATTATCTCCATGTGGACTGAACAGGAGTCCAAGTCTTGAAAACTGGTGAAATCAGTGACAAAATAAAATATCTATCCATAGATTATAACACACCTTGGCAGCAGGGTTGGGTTTATTGCTTTTTTTCCTGATTCAAGTTGGCTGCGTTTGTAGTAGTAAAGCAAGCAGTGCCAGACCCTGTTCTTCAGAATGAAGGTCAACTGAAGCAGCCTGGCATCTCAAACGCAGGCTGGCCACATCCAAACCACATACAGTGAATGGTTCTAGGCCCTAACTCTAAACTCTTGGGAGACTTACTCCGGGCCAAGACCAAACCAAGGAAAGTGTTAAGAATTTAGCAGAACGGAGGAGAGAGTGGATGAGATCCCACTCCAACACTTTTTAATTTAGTAGTATAGTTGTAGCTGTGATACATGAACTTCACCTTGCAAATAAATTGATGTAAACTAGAAAAAAAGAACCTAACTGATTCTGAAGACCTCTAGACACCTATCTTTGGCCAGCTCTAAATACAATGGACTGCCAGCTTAGTCTCAACAGCTATATGGGAGCTTAGCCATGTACCTCACTTACAGAAACATCTAGATACTGACATTCAGGTAACTGAATGTGAAATTAATCCAGCTCCAGATATCTGCAGTCGTTTAGACAGTTACTTGGAAAATAGGTGTCTAAAGTGCCTATTTCTTTCCATTGACTGCTGAAATACCCTAGGGCATGGGATTCATCTTGCCTACCATGCAGTTGCCTACAAGTGAGCTATTTTTTAATACTCTCCCATTAGGAGAAACACAGACTCTAGACACACTTAGAAAAGATCAATCCCACAGTAGAGTGGCCATCTTGCTCATCTTGGACTTAGACAACTGATTCTTAGGCCATAAAGTTTGAGGATACAAATTATCTGTTTTGCTTATCCTAGGGCATGCTCAAGTTGTCCACAGCTAAGTTCCCTCTCTTTCTCCTGGGTCCCTTTTCATAAATCTTCAGTTTCTGCAGGATCCTCAGTTTCTCAGCAAGGTTGCAGTTTCACTCATCTGGCATATGTGGAGTGGCACCATACTTTCCCTGGCATTTCAGCTCATCTCTGACTGTAGTCAAGCTGACACCCTTTCAGCCTCTAGATCAGTAGGATTGGGAAAGCTGTAGCAGTAGGATGTTTGGGAAGGACATTTTCCTTGGATCTTCCAGCTGAGAAGAGGAAGCTCTTGCCAGAGTGGTGGGCATAGCAGAAAGCACTGTGATATGACATGTTGCCTCCACCAGGAAAGCCAGCTTAAGACACCATTATACCCTCCCTCTTTCCTTCATGGCTACACACTCCTGTCCCTGTGCCAGGTCAAAATGATTTGGGTTAAAAATATTCCTCCTTTTTTTTCCCTCTCCTGGTTAGTGGGTCGTTTGAACCCAAGTCATTTCAATCATAAGGTTCAGACAGTGGCACCACAAATGGTTGTAAAATTACCACCGAGGAACTGGCACATGGCACTATGAAGGTGGAAAACATGGCAAGGAGCAGGGTAACTGCATTGCCAGGGGCTATGTGAGGCTAACATGTGAGACGTCTTCAGAAGAAATGGAAGTACAGGTTAGTCTATGTTACATAGATAGAGAAGAAATTGGGAGAATCTCAAGTTTGTCAGGAAACTCTTCTGGGAACAGAAGAAAAAAGGAGTTGTCATGCCCTGAATTTATTATGAGACTCCAGCCCAATTGGCACATTCACCAAATCATCAACACAAATGCATCTCCTGATCCCACTCATACCCTAATTATTTATGCATGTGTTTGTTAGTTATATTCCGATAATGCTGAGGATCCCACACCATGATCAGGACCCTGTTCCATTAGGAACTATGCAACCACAGGGTGCTACCTAAGAGCTATCGTGTTTTGTTGAATTACTGATTACTAGGTACAGAAAAGTTAAGCCACCATTGGGATAAGCCTCCCGGGAGAGGGTGGAAAGCTCCATTAACAGAAGTTTCTTTAGGGATTTTATACCAAGCTGCAAGACATTGAGCTTCTGGACTTCTGTCAGAAGTTGCCTCCCATTGACTCAAAACAATATCTGACGAATTAAGTTCTTGTATGGCTGAACTAGATTCTTCTACATAACTCCTTCATGTGATTAATGGGGAAGTAACTAATGTGACAGTAACTACAAAGCCAAAAAGGACTAAGGTAACATGGGTAAACTATTGGCCCCATGAGCTAAAGGATTTGCATTACAGGGAATGCAAATGCTGATGTGATAACAGTTGTTAGAATAACTGACCAGCAACAGGCACCAGAGATACTTGCCTTCTTCCCATCAGCAGTGTAGAGTTTCTTCACTGGGAATTGCAGGATCTCTGAAATCTCATCCAGGAGCGTTTTGAAACTCCTGGCATTTCTGCGGTTCAATATAATTGAGCGCCGAAAACCACTTTCTCCATTCTTAACTAGAGTGATTTTCTTGGGTATTCTGGGGCCATGCTGAGTGAAAGGTGTGGAATAATCTTCAAGCTTGCCCTCCTGAGCTGCTCTTCTCAAGGTACTGGAGGGACGACCACTTCGCGGAGGGCCTGGCCTGAGTCCCCCAGAAGTAATGCTAATGGGTTTGACATATTTCTTGTCAGAACAAAGGTAGCATCCTCCATCCTCCAGCTGGTCCAGCTCACTGATGCAATGTATTCCTCGTGGGGTGGTGATGGTCCGTACCCCAAATGGCAGCGGGACCCGATGAGAGAGGTCATCCATGAGTGCATTGAAGCTCTTGAAGCTTCGCTGGTTGATGGCCATCTTGACTCCTGCAAACTGGGGATCTCCACTCTTGAAGAAGGTTATTTTTTTGGCTGGGGGTACCTTGGTGACGGTGCTTGTCCGAGCCACAGAGGGAAAGGGCTGCTCATAGTTGTAGGAGCTGGTGGTTGACAGGTAATCAGCAGGCACCTGAGTCATCCCTCTGGCTTAAAAGTAACTGTAAGAGAAGAAAAACAGAGTAGGGTTTGTTTGAGTCACAGAGAATCAGTGCCTGACGAGCATGGGAGCAAAGTTTGTTTTCCTCACAACAGTTTTAACACCTATGCTTGGTCAAGAGCAAGTTGTACCAACATGGAGTTACGAACTCTCTGGCTCAGGTAGCTATGAGGAAACACAGCAGGAAAAGTAGCCACAACCCTCCTCCTCACAGTTAAACCATCCTTGTCCTGCAGATGCCAACAAGAATTCAGTCAGTTAGTGGCCCCTGAGGAGCAAAAAACATGAGTCAGACCCCAAGCAAAACCCACAAAACCTGGTATTTGTGTATTGCTGTCCTTTTGAGTTTTTGTCTTCCTTGCTTATATTTTTGAGGTTTTCTCTGAAACTATCAGGGACAGTGATTACTTCAGTTTTATTTTTACAAGCAGAGAGCTGAGATTCTCATGTAACCCTTTAACCCTGTGAACTGGCACATAACAAAAAAACCAAAACAAAACTGAATTTGTTCATGTAGTGATTGCACATTGTAGCACACAACCACTCCTGAGTGTACCGAGGGGCAGAGCAGAATGGTTTCAGAACAGCTGCGTGTGGCCTTGCCAGAGTGTGCTAAGGCAAGATCTGGATGACAATCCGTGGCACATATGCAAACAAATACGGTAAGAAATATTGAAAGACCTCAGATAGAACTACAAAAGTTGGTTCTGCTAGACAGTGCAAAAATTTGAATTCAGTCTGGTAAACACAGATGCGAGGAAAACAATCTGCCCAATTTATGTCAGAGAGCCTGGTGTCCTTCACTTGTAAAGCTAACCTGACTTTAGTGCTTAAGTATGGAGGTCGAAACCCATTTTTTGGAAGCTAGTTGTTTTTAATGTCTTTGCCGTGGTGGAGACAAGTGACAAAGAGACTGGACTCTGCTCTTTCTTGCCTACTCTTATCAGATGCATTGTCTTGGAAGTCAATCACTAAAAAATTCAGACCCCACATGGAACGAAACTGCTATGCAAAAGAAGATGCTTTATTTTTGACATGGAAAAATCCCCAAACAACACTATTTACAACTGCTAAAATATTGGCTGCAATGAGTATGACAAATGTCTGTTTCATGAATATGAACAGTGATTCCACAGTTCACTTTGAGTTAGTTACTCAAACTTAAATGGGGACTCTCAAAATGGCATTTAGAGATGTCATCTTCTGATCAGAAGTTACTTCTCACTTACAGGCAGCAAACCATTTGAATTGTTAGTAAGGAATACAGTAGCTTGTCTTGTAGCGTGTAGAAGGTTGTTCTGGCTACAAGCATCTACATCCAATTTACTTTCCAAATTATGTTCTTAGTTGATAGCAGTTTTCTATGGCAACTTCAAAAAGATCTCTCATAAGAAAGAAATTTTTTAGTGTTCACAAATGACTTAGGAAACAATGAATGTGTTTCTAATGACACGCTTCCTTCAATGTGCTCCTGGTTATACTTCTTGCAGCAGCTGAATAGTTCTAGTTTCAAGAAAATAGTCATGCTATTCACAAATTATTCTTTGGAGAACCAGTTCGGTGACCACTGTAATTAGTGGGAATTTTGTCATTGGTTGCAGAGATGCAGCATTCAAAAAGCTGTAAAGTCTAATTTTTGTCAAATTTTAAAATAAAAACATTATTTTCTTACTATGCTACTCTTAAGTGAAATATTTGTGTACTTTGTACTACCGCAAATTCACTCCTGCAATAAATGGAACTCCTTTAACCTACGCTAGATGAGAAGCATAGCCACATTTGAAAGATTATTGTTCCAAAAAAATCTCTGCTTTTATATATCCATGCACACTGACAAAGATTTCAGTATGATTTATTCTTTCCATGTACATATTTCACAAAGCAATTATTCACTTATTTATTTCCCAGTTAAAGGTCAATCCATCACTCTATCTTCCAGGAAAAAAAAATAAATCTAATTTCTCTATTTTTGAACAGCTTTCAGAAAGGTAGCTCTAACTTTTTCTCCATGAGTCCCACATTAGAGCTTTCAGACACTGGCAGCATAATTTCCAAACAAACCCATTATCCAGACAAATTGTAGTCCCTGGTCCACAATATGCTGGCTGCACTCCCAGAAATGTAACTGCTTCCCAAGGATTTATTGTACTTTTTTCAAGCTGTTAAATTATATTGAAAGAAGAATAAAAAATTAAAATATAGGACAAATCATAACATACTTTCCCAATACTAATTTTCTTTGGAAATAATTTCAAAAGACTGTTAAGGGATCACCAACATAAAGGAACATTGCCCTTAAGTTTTGAGTGATAGAGTTGGTTACCCACCAAAGCCCAGATGGTGTGTCAGACCTGTTTTTATGAAGCAGTATATAATGTGAAGAAAGAGCCTTCCACAAAAACATTGCATGAAATTCCCACAGTTCCCACAGGGAGAAGTTTTTTATTGTCCATTTGAAATTTCAGACTAGGAAGGGGATTCTACTGAATATCTAGTAAGGCAACAAAAATGGTCATCTTGCCGAAATACACCTTTTTACAGATACGTAACAGAGGACTCTCAATGCATATTTTTGTACTTACATTGAAATACTTCATGCCTCTTGCTCAGGATGATTTTTTCTGATATAATATCCAAGAGATTAAAAGTAAACCAACAAAATAATTAAAAAAAAAAAAACAACACAGCCAACCAACCACCTCCAGGATCTAACGAACTGGAGAATGCAGAGAAACACATTAGCAGGTTACATGCTGTCAATCAAACTGTCCTCAAAATGATTGACCACAGCTTGGAGGGATAATCAGGACTGTGTTGCTAAGGATAGAAAGAAAATCTACCTAAGCTGCTGGAGAAGGCTCTCAAATCCATAGGGGTTTTAGGCACAGTTTGCCCAATCCTTCTCTTGCTTGCCCCCACGTAACTGAGGTACAAATCTGACTCCGTGACACTCCTCTCAAATCACACCAGTACAACTGAGGATGCATTGAAGGCCAAAGAGGTAATATCTTCCTCTTGCGTAATAGCCTGCAGAGATCTGGATAACTTTCTTGAGCCACCCCACTCATTAAATCTTCAGCCCACACACTCATCAACCGTATTTGGAATCAGATTTATCTTTTGGGCAACTCCAGGGAAATCAACAGAGCTAGAGTAAAGATGACGGTAGCTCTTAAGGGTTTGTGTACATATTTGTTACTTCTCAGCTAATTGATAATCACTTAGGACATAGGTGGCTGGGATTCGTAACAATTTTTCAGTCAAGTATTATCTTAACAGGAAAGTCTGGTGAGTCCTAACCCAAATATTTTCACATTCATGGCAGATGACAGTCAGATTCTCAGATGAATGCTCAACATCTGGATCACTGAGATTTGGGCATGACATAAGGACAGACAAGCAACCCGTCAATGGCAAATGATGGAAAATGGCTTGTTCTTTCATAATTCACCTATGAGAGCCTTCCTGCTTTCTTTCACACTTCCTTTTGACAGGAAAACACACACACAAACAAAAAAATTGATCAGTTGGATTCAGGTACAAAATCAGTGGGAAACCTCACTTTTTTATGGACTGGACTTCTTGTCTTCTAGCAATATTTATTAATTACATAGCCATAGCACCTGTGCACCAATGTCACAGCATGAAGCACCTTCTTTCATAAAAAGCAATGACTTGCAAAGAGATCAGAGTCATAAAGGGCTTTCATTGGAATGACAGTGATTTGGGGATCCTGCAAGAATAGATTCATCAAGTTCTACATCTCCGATCCTCAGCATGAATCTTCCAAATGTAAGGTTATTGTTCAAACCATTATGCAGTCCTCCTTATACAGCATTGCTTTTCCACCTGTGGATGGCACACTTTCCAAGGGTCCAGAGACCACTCCTGTGGGATCCTTGATCCAGAAGAACAAGGTCATCTCTCTGTAGGCTTGCATCTAGTATAAAAGGTCAGCAGCTCTACTGGAAAATTTGTAGGAGTCCATTCATGGAAAAGACTGAACCTCTCATGAAGGCCATTCTATTCCATCAGGACTGTGCCAGGCAGCCTGGCCCCTATTTTTCAATTTCACACCATGGGTCAAAATGACATCTCAAAAAAACTAAACCACTTCTAAACTCTATCAAACCTCTGCTATCCAACTTCACATAGAGGAAGCTATGTGACCTTGTGCTTAGGCTTCCATTATGTGATCCCTTAGCCAAAATCCAATACATCTGCAGCACATGTCTTCATATCAGCCTTCACCTTCTGTCCCTTACACTAAGCTTGTTATCTCTGAGGTTTTTTTGCAGCCTTCTCTCTGCTGGGGACAGAGAAGAAGGAGAGGAATCCAGGTACCACCCTAGAAAGTGCCTGTGCTGAGGCAGGGGAGCTGTCAGAGAACTTGACTCAAAGGATAGAGCACCAAGTCTATAACCTCTATTTGAGAGATGAGAAAGCCTTTATGAGAAGCATCCAGACTTCACTTAAATGCTTTAAATTATCAAGAGTCTACCCAGTCCAGCAGCAACAGTTCCAATAGTTCATCCCACTTAGTGCTAACATCTGCGCTTTTTCTCTAGCCTGAATATGCCTAGTATCAATTTTTATATGGCTTTTGCTGAAAATTAATGTGCAGACTTTCGTTGGAAGTTTCTGTTCCCATACAAGTAATCGCAACTTCCATTTTTACAAAGTCATTTCTTCCAGACAGAAGAAAAATTTACACGTCACCATTAACATTTGGAATGGGGCTGGTTGAAAAAATCTAGGTGTGCGTTCTAGGGAAATCATGAATGGAATTATTTAATTTGAAACTTTTTCCTAGAAAAGGTGGGAGTTTCTGGCAAGAAAGATGAACCATCATTTTGTAAGATCTAACCATGTTTCTCTAAAATGGCTCATTTCAATTTGCTCTGTGCCTTTTTCAAGAAAGAAAAATTTTGTTTTAAATGTCAAAGTGATCTTATTAACAAGGAGTACTTATGGTTTTACAA